TAGCCTGATTAGGGCTTGAGGATTTCAGTCATATGTAAAAAGTAGACTGAGAAGGATGCAATGCAAATGACGGACATACTAACCTGGAAGGCAATTGCTGAAGTGGCCTCAGTGGTTTCCGAGATCGCTGTCCGGACTGCAGAGATCGAGATATACCGCAACCCCAGAGATGACTTCTAGCAGCAAGCAGAGCATCATTCTAACAAGAATAAAGATAACAATAAGTGAAGAAATATACTGCACAAATATAGGAAAAAATGATTAATGGTCTGGTTTATTTATGATAATAAATGCCTCTGAGAAGCTAACGGCAAAATTAAAAAGACCTGGAAATGGAAATCATCCCAACAATTTTGGCCTATCAAGAACCCACGGATAATAAAAACATAACCAAGATAGAGACAAATGATATGCAGAGAAAATGGAACATATTCTCGGGAACACTATAACGTATTGACTGCTAACAAAAGAGCCAACAGTTAAAATCAAAGGGCACTGCAAAAAGGAAATGAATACGAACGGTAAAATTGGCAAATGGACAATTAAGTCACTCATACGAAGGGGTGTAAGAACACTAATAGCATACGATTAGCCGAAAGTACATAAAAAAAAGCATTGAGACTGATAGTGAACAACAAACACGGAACAGCACATAAACTGGTGAAATTTATCTGTCTTAAGATAAAGAAAGTGAATGATAGATTATAAAATATAATAAAGAACTGATACAAATTTTGCCAAAAAATCAAAGGCATCAGTTTGGAGAGAAAGAACTATTGCTGAGCTTGGATTTACAATCCATGTGCACCAACATCTTGGGAGAAAAAGTACTCACGGCACTACTGGAGATCTTGGAAAGATAAGATGGCATCCTGAAGAATGAGCGAATCAGAAAAGGGTCTCTGACCCGTTTAATCAAACCAATAATAGGAAATACCTTTTTCACGTTCCCAAAAAAATCGCACGCAGGAATAATCCGCAACTTTCAATTCAACCATACCTATGGAATAAATATAGGAATACTTTGTATTATGGTCATAAGAAACCTACGACTTACCAATCCTGACTTATGAGAAGATGAACTGGAAAAAGCAACTCAGATGTTTCTTGGAAACAGATATCCAGAATAAGTAATACGACGCAGCATATGGATGGTGATGAACAGATAAGAGGACGGGTATTATGAGATAAAAGCAAGGGAAACAGAGGAAAAAAGATGGATATATCTCCTCTTCTGCGAACTGACTAGGAGACTGCTGCTGATTCTATTAAAATGAAGCATTCATACAAATTAGAATGAAAGGACAACCCTCTCTACCAATTTGCCCACAAGATGAAGTCAGCAAAATAGTGCTCCGGAGTATACAACATAAGTTGCAAGGACTGTAAACAAATATACATCAGAGACGAGAAGAAAAATAGGCACAATGATCAAAGGACATCAACTACTATGCAGAAAAATGGATACAGAAAGATCGAAGATAGCTGAACACATAACCCTTGCCGACCACAAAATTAAATGAAGTGTAACGGAAAGACTGGCCTCACATGGGAAAAACACTAGATAACGAAAGATCAGGGAGGCTGTGGACATAGTGTTTTAAACAAATCTGATGAACAGAAGATTGGCAATCAGCGATAATTTTGGGTACTGCCTGGGGAGACTCAGAGATTCAGCGAAGACATCAAAAAGTTGTTTGGACCCAGGATACTATTAAATAACAGGAAGAGACCACGCCAAGGAAGGGAGCAAGAGGGACAAAGGGAAGTCAGTAAAAGACGATTGCAGAGAGATGAGTCAAACTTGGAGTCAGCCTAAAAAGTTACAGGTGTGGGTCCACTGTGAGATGTGTGACAGGAAATTAAGAATCAGAAACAGGCAGATTATGCTCAATTAGAGGTGCTGGGTTAAATGTATAGGTGTGCCAAGGAAAGGTCCCCAGTACTCGTGCACTAGTGTTCTTTAATGAGAAGTGAATGACATGCCTCACCAAAAAAGGGGTATACCAACCAACGTACGCTTTAAGATTGGATGCAAGTGTGCTTTACGCGATTTATGAGTGTAAAAGGGAAGCGGTAGATTTTTATAACGGCGATTCCGAATTGAGCCAGATAAGGGCCACAAAGAATGAGATACAATATTGGTGAGGATAAGTAAGAGGATAATTGAGTGATCTATCTGAGACATAGGGAGAGAAAGATGCATAAACATGAGCATAACCGAGTCTAAATCCTCGTATATGACGTAAACAGAGAGAGAAATTGAAGGCTCATAGGCAGCCAGATTTTATAAAGCCAGACAGCGATCAATTGGCAGGCGGAATAAAAGGGCGGGGCTAAATAAAAGTCAGAAGCCCGACAAACAGCATCTGGGATCGTTGGTAAGGATTATGACGCCTCATTAAATCCCCTCGTAGCGACACTCTTATGGTACATTTAAGGAAACGAAGGCATATAATTGTATGAATAGGTAAATGGGCCATATGAAGTGTGGTTGAGAGAAAGAGATGCAACACTATAAGGTAAGATGAAAAATAGGAGCGAGGAGTAATGCGACAACAGATAAACATAAAATTGGTCAAAGGAATCGCTTTCATTTGTCATTGATAAGTTGTAACTCTGTGTTAACGATGACGCCCCTCCTCCCTGACGATGCCGGCAAAACGTATGGGAATGTAATTAGACAATGGTCGGATGGTGGAAATCACGAATAGTATAATAGAGAATACAGGACTATATACGTTCCACAAGGTCTCCCTGATGCACCGACCAAGTTGCGAAAACGAGATTAAACCGACAGTATAAAACAAAAGACTGCGACTATCTTAGTCTTTATATCTAAGAGTTCATTAAATTACAAATGGCTGATAAGTTATATGATAAAGATTTTAAACAGCATGATTTAAAACTTAGTAACTCGGGAATCAGAATCAAGGCAAGGAGATATTAGCAATAATTATAATTGGGGATTGAGGATAAAGAGGAAGTAAGCTAAAAATGGGTAAACTTATCTATAATAGCAGTAGACGTCAACATTTAGGAAGTTTCACATTTATAAGTGGGTTTTCGAGACTACTAATATATCTAATATAAGGACTGGTAGTTGAATTTTCCATTACACTTCATAAAGCCTTGTTTTTCAAAGGTATTCACATCCAGAGCAGATTGCAGTTTCGACGCCGCCTAGTCCTTATCTGTACTTCCAGCGGAACCACATTTCGAGTAATGCAGCGTATCGCCTCGACATGTTGATCACTACGCCACTCTACCACGAGTGCCCTTGGGTAATATGGCAGAAGTGAAATGTAATATAGGGAAGTCCTAGGCTTCCTTGAAAGTTACTTATGCTCTGTGACCCTAGGATAGTCGTGGGAGTGCGGAGTAGTAGCCAACGCGTCGAGACTATACCCCCACACGACACGAGTCTAGCTTAAGGTGCTGATGAGACAGATCCAAGCGAAGTAAAAACTGCACTTCGTCCTAGATGAATGCCTTTTAGAGAAGCAAAGCTATGTGAAAATTAATAAAAATATAAGGCTCACTGATATCAATGTGGGAAGACTACCAGTCTTTTATCAGCTTAAAATAATTAAGTGGTTCTTATTAAAGAAGTTATTTAAAAAGACTTGAACTTTACTTTGCTAAATTGTGATTCTAACTGGGAAAATATACTGGTAGGCCACATAAAGACTAGGAATGAGATTAATTAAAGGTTGTATTTTTAATATATAGCAAACTAACAATAGGCATAAATAACCTTGTAGGAAAGTTAAGAGGTAGGGATCAAATAACGTTAAGGGCATAAAAAAGGAGGATAAGAAAGGATAGACTGTGTATAAAAATGGTGCAATTTGTAACCTAGGCGGTTACTAATAAGGTCCCTATAGAATCCCCAAAGACTAGATTCAAATGTTCCAAAAACAAGTGGAAAAGTGGAAATATAGAAAAATTAAAAACTTCTTCGAAGTGACACCAGGTCACTGGAAACAAACTATCTGATAAGAATAACTAAAGTAATCCTGCTTAGAACTATTGTGAATAATAAAGTGTAATGTATAATGCATCAAGTTATTTTTCAACAATTAAGGCAAATCTACTGCATATGGCAATTTTCAATAAAAAATTCTTATGAATTCACCAAACCAGTAGATAAACAGATCGTAAATGAAGAGTTTCCCTCAGGTTTTGACGCAATGTCAATGTACACTAACATTCAGGAAAGCGGAACAAAATCGGCTCTGGAATTAACATAAAAATAGTGCCTCAAGGTAATAATGAATATAATTGTGATACCAACTAATTTGATAATAATCTTGACGATTAAATTGTAGGCGTACACAATTCCATTCGGAGTTTTAGTTGCCAACTCATTGGCTAGGTATATGAAAAACTACTTTGCGTTTAGGCGAAAAGGCAACGAGTCTGGATAGTTCCCTTACGTTTTTAGTGTTACAAAGGACTCCAAATTTGGAGTTATAGAGTGCAAGCGTTTTATATTTTAAAGACAATCCACATCCTTCTTTGGAAATACTAAGCTGGCGAGGCCAAAGTGATCTCTGAGCCATGTCTACGTATGGGATGTAAAAAAACTAAACTTTAAGTGAAAAAAGTGTGGGGATAGATCACTACAAGTTAATGTAATTCATTAGATAGAAATATTGAATGAATCATTAAAGTATAAAAGAATAGTGGTCCATCCTTTATGGATGCCATAAATGGCATAGGGAAAAAAATTGAGTAGATGTGTATAAGAAACCAAAAAATGCAAATTTCCTTCAGAAATTATTTTTTTATTATATGTACGGGATTAAATTAGGAGCAAATAAATCAAAGAAAGTTGGAAGTCTGAATATCGTGGATGTCAATCACCAGGACCAGATGACATGAGTAACAAACGTTTTACTAGGAGCAATTATTCTTAGGATCGATAGACAACTATTCGAGAATACTAAGATATAGGATGAGGATAAACATCTGATTTTACCATAGTTTCATGTCATGTCTCGATATATAAAGGCGAATTGTATTAGAAAAATGTATCAAAAGAAAATAACGCTTGCTAATAATGCTTTTTTTATGTAATTTTCAGATCCTCTATTCATATCATGCTGTTAAAATGTTCTGGTAAAGTATAGCTGAAGGATACCTGCCGACACATAGATAAGAGGTTGTCTGAGAATGAAACATACTTTAAAAGTGTTGTTCTTAAAAAATCAAGACTGACGGAGCACAAGACACCAAATAGACTGGTCTTGGACAAGACAATCCACGGGATATGAAGAAATAAACCAAATGGCAAATCTGAATAGGAAATAGGTAGAAGGTAAATTTGGCCTTTGGAGAGAGCGATAGGGAAGAGCGAAAAATGGTTAGCTTTGAATCTTATTTGGATTCTCACACTTTGCATGACTCCCGAACATTGTACAAACCTCACACATTAGCAAATTTATAAGATTACTCGCGTCAACATCACAATGAAAATAAAGGTAATCCAGGAAAGGATGTGTGTTTAATAACAGCCACACTTCCATGACGCGTCAAAGTAAACTATTAAATGTAGGTAGGATTTAAGCTGACAACTTTTAGTGCTCTGGCATGAATTATTGCAGGATAGGTGAAGGATGGTCACGGATTCATCTGAATGGAAGGACAGTGCCAAGGACTTCTCCACATAGATCCACAATTCCACTCAAGTTAAGAATCTCTTCTATCATCTTTCCAAACAAAATTCAAGAGTGAAAACATGAATTTTATGAAGTAATTTGGTAAGTAAATGCAGTCATGGCAGCGCTACGCTACGCTTGTAATGTAAAGAACTATGGAGAGGTTTATCAGAAGCAAAAACAGCTATGCAACTAACATAAGAGGTATTAGTGGATTTGATTATTATTAGGTCAGAATTATCATAATTTTTTCTAAATGTTATAGAAAGGAAAATAAAACATAAAATGGGAGAATATATGTTCACAAAAAGTAGAATTACTTACTTGTCCAGATAGCATTCGAGATCCGGACCCATCTTCTCCGGGGAAAATCAGTATTGGCTGCCCAGAAAGACAGACAGGAGAGCCTACCGAGCTAAAAGGCTCCTCACGAGAGAGTCGGCCATCGTTACTAATGGATTGAGGCAACTCACTGGTGTCTGGAAGTATAGAATCAAAGAGGTGAGGGCTAGAAGAGGTGATCTCGAAAAGAGTCTTGCGGCTCAATTGGCAGCTCTCGCCGCAAGCGTTGAGGCTACCATCGCTGAGGAGGGATGTCTGATTGGGACTGAGAGTAAAAATGATTTTAAAGATCAAAAGGAATATTTAGCATCTGCGTTATGAATACTGTAAAGGTCACAATATCCAAGTTAATATCCATTGTTGAGGAGACTTTTATTTTGTATCAAAATGCAGGAAGAGGAAATTCGAAGATGGATCTCACCAGAAGAGGACTACTGAATCCTATTGTACTGCAGAAGTTGATAGTCTACGACATCTCTCTCGTTTCGGGTGAAAATGGATTGAGCTTTCGCCCATCATATGATAAGCATAATCAGAGCTGAAACCCATGTTTACACTAGGTCAAGAAGCATTTCATGTAGTTTTATACTAAATAAGAGTCTCTCCAAAATTGTTATATCAAGAAATTGATCGAAACCCAGTTACTCTTGGTATCTTTCATATCCATTGCCGCAATATCCTAGTGGGCAAGAATTAGATGACCTCCTCCCACAAATTAGACAAGCAATAGCCTGTTAGACTATTAGCAAAAAGACCGCAAGTAAATGGGAGTAATTTGAAAGATAAAAATTATTATCAAGTTCCAAATATAACCAAATTTTTAATGTTCAAGCCTACATTTGAGAAAAATAAAATAAGTTAATCATTTAATTAAAAATAACCACTGAAGAAGATAGAGAATAAAAAATAACAAAAGTAAAATTGAAAGTTACTCAGGAATAATGTTTTACAGTTCAATAGCTTCTTACTTACATGAGACATTTAAATTTCAATCAAAAACCAAATGTTATAGGCCAACTATTAGATAAACTCAAACAGGGACCCGCGATAATAATATCCAGATCAATGTGCGCTATTTTAATGAAAAAGATCAATGAATAATAGCCCTACGCGCACAATTGAAATTAAAAAGTATAAATGGACTAGAAATAAAATCAGATAAGCTATATATGAATTATAAATAAACAAGCTTAAGTGCTGGAGACCCCAGGACCTGATAGACGATTCACATAAATTAAGACTTCCAAAGCAAGACAAGTCTGATTCAATTCGATTCACTTTGGATTAATGTAATAAGAAGATAGTAAATAGAAAGAAACCAGAATGTAGCATAGCTGACTCAATAATAATATGAATGCAAGACCATCAATCATGGCGCACGAAATAACTTGTCACGCCGATAACTCTGAATGAAGAAAGAATTCTTTAACCATTAAGAAAATTCATCAACCAATAAGTTTAAAGAAAAGCATCACGATCAGAATGAAACGACATAAGTTGGCCAGTGGGGAATGAATAACAGTACACAAGATTAGGACTATGGTCGTTGTCCTAACATCTAGCTCGTGGTAACCTAAGTGGATCAAAGAGGACCGCCTATCGAACAAAAAATTTAAGATAGAGAACATGGGCTTAATGTTGTTCTGGGGGCTATGGGAAGTGGTTAAGGGGCTTGCACAAGGCCAATCAAAGATCAGCATGGAAGCCTGAGGAGAAATTGTCTCCTATAGACCCCAATATAGGGTCATACACCGAGACAAAGATTAGCTAAACGAGCCGAGACAAGGGGATACGGCAATGTATGAACGGATGGAAGCACCCAGGTGGCATAAAGCAGCCAATCGGCCAGCAGCCCTGTCATATGAAGAAGCCACTGTTCAAATTGGATACGCAAGGGATAAAGGAGAACAGACAGAATAAAGACAAAGTATAGCAGGATGAGCTAGGACGGAAAGTGAGAGAGCTAAAGGATAAAAGATCAGTGCCAAATGGGTCAACAGAGAACGAAAACCAATCAAATGAAGACAAGGCAAAGGGCATAATTGTGGACCCAGGTGTGCGCTTGCGAAATCACTTCATGTTCGTCTTCAATGGCCATCATGAGAGCAAGTGCACAGGGCATTCTAATGAGAATTATAATATAAAAATGGTCTCGCAAATAAGCATATTAAATCGTTTATTTTAACTTCAAATAATAGAACACAACCAAGTCATACCTATATTGATCCATTGACGATGACAAGATACTTCCAAATAAAGTATCTTCCAATGGAATATGGCATATGAAAAAAACGTAAGAGTAATCATTCG